AAAACTGCAACTCTGTCTACACTATTGATTTGAACAATATCTGCTACATAGAAGTTTCTCAAATATCTCCTGAGTGAATGAATGGTGAATGAATAAATACATAAGTAAATGTGTGAATGAATCATTTAGCAGAAGGGCTAAAACTGATTCTTATTGAGTTAGGTGTCCACCACTAGTGGTAGCGCATAATGTGGCTGCCTCTCTAGCATCATATGGATTAAGAGTGGGTTTTTTTTTTTTTTTTTTTTTTGTCAAGAGTCTGGCTCTGTCACCTAGGCTGGAGTGCAGTGGCATGATGTGAGCTCACTGAAACCTCCACCTCCTGGGCTCAAGTGATTCTGCTGCCTCAGACTCCCAGCTACCTAGGAGCCAGGCAGGCACCACCATACCCAGCTAATTTTTGTGTTTTTATTAGAGACGGGGTTTCAGCATGTTGGCCAGGCTGGTCTCGAACTCCTGACCTCAAGTGATCTGCCTGCCTTGGTCTCCCAAAGTGCTGGGATTACAGGTGTGAGCCACCACATGCAGCAAGAGTAGAATATTAAGAGTGATTTTTTTAAAGAAAATCCAGATGCTGTTGCTCAAAGAAAAGAGATTGCTGAGCAGTTGAGCAATCGATACTCATCATATCATTCCCTCTTTCCCTTTTCTGTTACCAGCGCCTGCACACTAATACTTGGAATAGGTTGGTTATATCTTCTACTTCCTTCTTTCAAAATGTTAATAATTCTTCTTTTGATATCAAATGTTTTTAATTTATTTATTGTCCATACCACCACATTCCTTGATGCTCATCTTCTTGCTCTCAGTATGACTTCCCATTACCCTGGATCTCATCAATATGGCTTTTATAGTCATTTCTTAAAACAACAACAAAAACACATGCTATTGTATTTTGTTTCTAATCAGGCAGAAGCTTTTAAAACATTTATAATTTTTTCAACATAAATACTTTCTCCCAGTCAAACTTGTGTCTTTATTCCTATTCCTTGTTGCCTATTTCTGAACACATTTGGTTCATGTTTTCAGAGAATCTACAATCTTAGTTGAAAAATCCGTTTTACAAATAAGCTCAACAAGTCTTTTTGTGAGAGACATACAGGGGAAAGGATTCTTTTTGTTAAGTCCTAGAGAGGTTACCCAAACAGAGCAAAAGTTCAGCATAACTATCTCTGGACTCTGGGTCTGAAATCCTCCTTTATGCCAACCTATTCTTCAGTGTATCCTGTGCCCGTTCTCTCTTGTCTTTCAAACACCTCTCTGTCCTTCTATGCAGCTGAGCTCTAACTCTGTAGAATTTGCCTGATTATGTAGCATTCACAGAACTCCAAATATAGGTAAAATTACTAGTTACATCATGCACTTCCATAATTCCTTTTAATGCTGCCTTTTGCAGTATCTTTTCAGATTTTATTTTAGGCCTCATGAGATTGCACATATCTTAGGGACAGTGTTTCAGGAGAATTTTTGTGTTGCTTTTCTAAATATTTACATAAAACCTAGCAACATGCTAAGCATATAGTTAATTTTCAAGTTAAAATTGTTTGGTGGCTTTTGTTGAGCATTATTTAAGATCATAAATTTTAGATGAACCCATATCCAATTGTAGATTTAATTCAAGTGATTTTGGTCAAGGATTCCAATTGTTCTTGCATTTGAAGCAAGATTGTTTTCAGAGAACCAATAGAGATCTTAAAATATAACCATGGTTTCATAGAATACTTAGTTTGATTTTTGGATTCTTTGTAAAACTAAAAGCTGGCTAGAAAAGTACCTATAAAGAAAGAAAATGGATTTTTATAATTGTTTTTTCCTGATGAAATTGTGTCAACAAGATTCAATGAGGATGCTCTGTTTAGTCTTAAAATTCAAGACCTACTGCTCAAATAGTTTTGTTTTATGAAGGATTACAGAAGGGTATGGTTATTTTTAAAAGGGAGTGGTAATATGCAGCTCACTGGAGAAATTCAGGAAGAGCACAGCAGGAATCATCACTGAAAAACATCTCAATTTTTTAAACATGTAATAGTTCATGTTATAGACTAAATGTTATTCATCATGTAGATTGCTGGTACCATCTAACATTTATGTAAAATTGTTTAAATGCAAAGGAAATCTTTCAATATACTTCTCATAATTACTAGGCCTTACATTACACATTTTGTATTTTGGAGGGCGAGAATTTGACTGGGGAATGCAGGTTGGATAACAGATCTACAAATCTGCATTTGTGATGCTTGGATGAACTTAAGCCAGTGCCTTCAATTCTTAAGCTATTCTGTATTTTTTTATTAAAAGCGTCTCTCCATCCTCCCGTCACCTACATTAGGTATTTCTCCTAATATTATCCTTCCCCAATCTCCCCACCCCGCTTATGCCTCCCCTAGCCCCCCCACCCGCAACAGACCCCAGTGTGTGATGTTCCCCTCCCTGTGTCCATGTGTTCTCATTGTTCAACATCCACTTATGAGTGAGAACATGTGGTGTTTGGTTTTCTGTTCTTCTCTCCATTTGCTGAGAATGATGGTTTCCAGATTCATCCACGTCCCTACAAAAGACACAAACTTATCATTTTTTATAGCTGCATAGTATTCCATGATGTATATGTGCCATATTTTCCTTGTCCAGTCTATCATAGATGGGCATTTGGGTTCGTTCCAGGTCTTTGCTGTTGTAAACAGTGCAACTATAAACATACATGTGCATATGTCTTTATAATAGGACGATTTATAATCCTTTGGGTATATACCCAGTAATGAGATGCTGGGTCAAATGGAATTTCTATTTCTAGATCCCAAAGTCTAGAATTGCCACACTGTCTCCCACAATGATTGAATTAATTTACACTCCCATCAACAGTGTAAAAGTCTTCCTATTTATCCACATACTCTCCAACATCTGTTGTCTACACATTTTTAATGATCGCCATTCTAACTGGTGTGAGTTGGTATCTCAATGTAGTTTTGATTTACATTTCTCTAATGACCAGTAATGATGAGCATTTTTTCATATGTTTGTTGGCCTCATATATGTCTTCTTTTGAAATGAATCTGTTCATATACTTCATCCACTTTTGAATGGGGTTGTTTTTTTCTTGTAAATCTATTTTAGTTCTTTGTAGATTCTAGATATTAGCCCTTTTTCAGATGGATAGAGTGCAAAACATTTTTCCCATTCTGTTGGTTGCCAGTTCACTGTAATGATTGTTTCTTTTGCTGTACAGAAGCTCTTAAGTTTAATTAGTTCCCATTTGTCTAGTTTGGCTTTTGTTGCCATTGCTTTTGGTGTTTTAGTCATGAAGTCCTTGTCTATGCCTATATCTTGAATGGTATTGCCTAGGTTTTCTTCTAAGTTTTTTATGATGTTAGGTCTTATGTTTAAATCTTGAATCCATCTGGAGTTAATTTTAGTGTAAGTGTCAGGAAGGAATCCAGTTTCAGCTTTCTGCACATGGCTAGCCAGTTTTCCCAACACCATTTATTAAACAGGGAATCCTTTCCCCATTTTTTTGTTGTCAGGTTTGTCAAAGATCAGATGGTTGTAGGTGTGTGGCATTACTTCTGAGACCTCTGTTCTGTTCCATTGGTCTATATCTCTGTTTTGGTACCAGTACCATGCTGTTTTGATTACTGTAGCCCATGGCATATGTATAGCTATGCAACAATCCTGCAAGGTCTATGCATGTACCCCAGAACTTAATGTAAAATATAAATAAAAATTTAAAAATAAGAAACTAAAATAAAAGATACAAGACACTGTGGGGAAGAAAAAAAAAGAAAAACATCTCTCTTTCTTAATTTTGTATTAGTATTCTAACTTTAAAAAGTAATTATTAGAATTTTTTTTTTTTAAGCCCAAACTCCTGGTTTTAGATAGAAGCAAATTCAATCCTCAGGTAAAGTAGACAACATAATATTAACAGTGTAATATTATACCTGTGTTGCTTCTTTTCATTATTTAAAAAATAATTTTAAAATTTTCTATTTGTATGATTTTAAGATAATTTAAATAAATCTAAAAGAGAGTATCTTCTAAAAGATAATGCTAAAACCTCAAGTTATCTATTATAGGGACATTTAGAATGAATATATGAAGTCAAAACTGCTCATGTTAAAAGTAGCACAAGCTTTCATTTATTTGAATTATATCTTCTAAAATATAATAGTTTCTTTCTTTAAATCCTTTTTGAATTATAACTTTATACTGACATTTTCCTTTTTATCAGATAATATTTTTTTTGAGTTGAGCCTATGGTTTCACACATCACTGAATATCCCGTATTATCTTGTTCTAACGTTATGAAATAGATAGTTTGTAAATCCTTGTTGCAATATTGTTATATATGCCCCCTCCCCTTAAAATCCACTTGTTCTCCATTGCAGGGGAAAAAAGACAATGTGAACTTTCAATATCAGATAAAATTCATGGATAATTATTCTTTTGACAGAATCTTTTATAATGAGAAAAACTGAACATGTTTCTCATCCATTGAACAAATTCTCTAAATCTGTCTACTTCAATAAAAGGTAGAAAACCCTGACCTCTTCACAACATGTTCAATTGTTCTTATCTCACTAGTGTTGAAATGTTATCTTTAAATTTCTAATGGTTTTATGGGAGAAAATGTGGAGGAGAATTTTAGAAAGCAAGACATAAGGCTTGATTCTATAAAAAGCATTTATTGTATAAATTAAGTGCAAAATGTTAGAACTCATGTAAATGTGTATGGAGCACAATAGTAGGTTCCATATAGTCTTTCATTTTTTTAACATGTATTTACAACCGTGAAAGGACCCATAGAAAATCTGACCAGTTTTCCATTTAAAACTGGACTTATTTTCAAATTAAAAGTAGGGAAGTCGTTTTCTTTGAATTATTTATGGTGTAAGAAATTGCAAGCCCTACCAATTGGGTAAGATTTGTGTTTATTCTATCCTAAAGAGAATATGATTATTTCTAAAGTATTTTTCCCAATTTTTGAGATATCCTTTTTTTTCCAGGCATTTCCTGGAAACATGAACTCTGATGGTGTGGTCCGCCATGAATTACAGCATCCAATTATCGCCCGCTATGTGCGCATAGTGCCTCTGGATTGGAACGGAGAAGGCCGCATTGGGCTCAGAATTGAACTTTATGGCTGTTCTTACTGTGAGTACCACATTATTTAAATGTGTAGCACGTTTTGTTATCTTTATTTAAATAGTAAGCTGTTTTATTTTAAATTATTTAACGTTACTTACTTTCTCTGACAAACTACCTTCTCGTTTACATATATGTACGTACATATATATATAAACTAAAAGGTTTTCTTATTTGTATAACTGTTTATTATAAATACACACAGAAACTAAGAGATGTCATTATGTCTTTATTATACTTTAGGTTGAAGATTTGGAAAGTTTTTTTGCTCAACAGACTAAAATTATAAATCTTATTAATAAAAGTCTTTCTCTTTAAAAAGGAGAAAACTATATTGTTATCCATATATTTGGGTCTTTTTTTTTTTTTTTTTTCTGAGATGGAGTCTTGCTTTGTCACTCAGACTGGGGTGCAGTGGCACGATCTTGGTTCACTGCCACCTCCACCTCTCAGTCAAGCGAGTCTCCTGCCACAGCCTCCTGAGTAGCTGGGACTACAGGCATGTACCACCACGCCCAGCTAATTTTTGTATGTTTTTTTAGTAGAGATGAGGTTTCACCATGTTGGCCAGGAATGTCTAGATCTCTTGACCTTGTGATCCACCCACCTCAGATTACCAAAGTGCTGTGATTACAGGTGTGAGCCACCACGCCCTGCTATTTGGGTCTTTATGATGTGTTTTCAAAACATTTCAAAGTACTTCCTTCCAGTTTAGCAAATGCCTCTTTTAAGTTATGTCTCTTCTTATCTTAAAGCCAACCACTGAGTTTTAAACTTAATGATGTTTTCTCAATCAAATGTAATTTATTTTTTCAAATCTATTTGGTCATCTAAAGAGATTATTATCCCTTAAACATATGTTAAATCTCTCTTGTTATTTCTTAAGTACATTATGCATATAACTAAGGATTCCAACATGTGTATTTTAGGGGATTATAAGTCTTCTATCTATTGTTTCTGCTCATTTTTGCAAATGGTACTTGTTTTCTTTTATTCCTCTTCCTCCCTCTTTTTCTTCTTATCCTCTTTGCCTATCTGTCCTTTTTATCCTTATCCTTATGCTTATTCACATTCTTTACTGTGACCTCAATTTCATTAAAATTTTATCTGTGGAACTTTGTTTGATGGCCAAGGTTGATGGTAAATTCTTCTTGAGAGGATTTATCTTTGCTTATTCACTTCTGCGAAGGCAATACCAACACAGAACTGCTTTAAACACTGTCTTCAGTTGTGATTGTTTCTTTTTGAGACTACTAGATAGCATAAATTTAATCTATGAACACATGACTTGCAAACATCGGCTTCAAAATATGAATTCCCTATAAAATATATTTTCCTCATTCCCGGAAATTTTTCTTCCTGCTCTTACAATTGCCGGAGAGAGCAAAGCTGCTGGGTAGAACAAGGAGGGGAATTGGTTCCTCTATGTTTTGCAAAAAGTCTATTAGCCCTTTCCTACTCATTCCTATAAACCCACAGAAATGAATTCACTCTAAGCAGAAATTTCAAATGTCCCTGTTAGAAAAGCTTTCTAAAATGCACCAGACACTTAGTATTTTACATTAAAGAACATATGTAGCTTTCACCTCTGTATATTAACAGAAATTGGTAAAAATATTAGCTATAATAATGCCCAAATACTGTCTTATTAATTCACTGGCAACAGTGTTATGTGCAAACTACAAAAAAAGGGGTCATGGAAATCACTAAAAAATTCTCAAGAACTGTTTGTTTACCCCTTTATTGTGGCAGATGTTCACACACACTCCAGCTCTCAGCATAGCATCATGGTGGGAAGGCCAGAAGAAAATGGGATATTTTTGTCACCATCACAAAGTTTGTTAAGAGCCATGTTTAGCTTTCAGTAAACACATACATACATATATATGTGACATATATACACATACGTACACACACACACACACACACATATAGATGTGACATCCTTCATGGAAACTATGATGTGTGTGTGTGTATACACACATATTCATATATATGTGTGTGTGTATATATACGTATACGTGTGTGTGTGTGTGTACACACACACACACACACACACACACACATATATATATGTGACATTCCTTCATGGAAACTATAATGTGTATGTGCAATTTAGTAATACATATATATGTGTTTACTAAATACATACATACATATTTAGTATGTATTTACTAATATGACATCCTTCATGGAAACTGTGATGGATGTGTATGTGCAATTTATTTTAATAGCAATTATTAATGAGCACTTTTCATGTGTGATAAAATCTATGAAATGGTAGCATTAACACAGTGGATGAGAAAGCCATGATCTTTGAAGGAGATGAAGTGGGACAAATAATTTAATAGAGTTAATCATAATAAAAATAGTAAACGTTAAAATTTACCCAAAAGCACCTGGCCTGAGTGATAGATCTGAAAGGGAAACCAGGTAGTCTGATGCCAAAGGTCACTAGAACTGTTCTGTTTTAATCCCAACAAAAGTACCACCCACCTGACCATCCACAGTTCAACAGAAACATTATATCAACACACCACAACCACTGATCAGGCCTTCTCCCAGTTACTGCAACTCCTTAAATGTAAACATTCACCTGATTTGTATCACCATAGATTCGTTATTTTTTAAAAAATAATTTCATACTGATGGAATCATAAAATATGCATTATTTTACACCTGACTTCTTTAGTTAAAAATCATATTTCTGAGAATTATCCATGCTGTTATTAGAGATAATAGTTTATTTTCCTCAGTTTTATTCTATCATATGAATATTCTACAATCGTTTGTTTATTTCATACTGATGAACATTTGCGTTATTTCTAGTTTTTGGCTATTTCTATAGAATTACTAACAAGGATTCTGATGAGTATAGACCTGGGGGTGGTAATAATAAACTAGCAAATGCCTGTGTTCACCTTTGGCCAATAACAACATAAATTTTTCTAAATTCGTTATATCAATTTAAAATTTCCAAGATAATAAACTAGAGATTCTGATGCTTACAAATTAAGATATTTAGTATTGTTTTAAAGTTTAAGCCACTCTGGTGAGTGTTTTTCTTGTCTCATTTTAGTTTTAATGAGTATTCTTCTGATTTTTAAAAAACGTTATGCTTATTTGTCATATGTATACCATTTTTTTCAAGTGTTTGTTCAAGAATCTTGCTCATATTTCTATGAGTTCCCATTTACCTATCCATCAGTCATCCACTTGATTGTTTTAAATAGTTTTTGCAAGCAACTATCTTTTTCATTCTCATTACAATAACTAGACACATATTTCATTTTTGAGGTGACTTTCTTCAACAATAATAACTTTAAAGCAAACATTGTTAATGAGGTTACTTAAGAGTCCATAGGTGTGGACTTAAACTGTGATCACATATTCTATAATTGTTACAAGTAGATTTATAAAGTTGTGAGTTTGTGCTATCATGGGCTTTTCCAAGGAAAAATAACTGAAGCAAATCAGGAAGCCGGACTTTTCTACTGTATAAGCCCCTTTAGGTGGGAAATCACATAGCTTTGGGAAACTGTATTAACATTTACGATGTTAATACTTCCAGTGGAGTAACGTAGCAACATAAAATAAAATTTAAATTAAAAAAAAATAGCATTTCAGTTGGATGTAGTAGGTTGGGTAATGGCATCTCATAACATAAAGACTTCATTCTTGTAAGCTGTAAGCGTGTATTTGTAGATGTGACTAAATTAACCATCATGGCAGGGAGAGGAGACTTTACATTAGCCAGGTGGGCACTAAGTGCAATCAAATGTGTCATTATAGCAGGTAGCCAGGGGGAGATTTCACAGATGGGAAAGGAGAGGTGAATGTGAACACCTTGCAACCAGAGACTGGAGTGATATGGTGGTAAGCCAAGGAATGCCAGCAGTTACCAGGAGCGGAAAAGCAAAGAGACAGACTTTCTCTGGAGGGAGTGTGATCTTGCTAACACATTGATTTCACTCAGTGATACTGATTTGGAACTTCCGACCTCCAAAACTGTGAAAGAACACATTTCTGTTATTTTAAGCCACCAAAGTTTGTGATAATCTGTTATAACAACAACATGAAACTAATACAAGATTCAAGATATTTTAGAAAATAGGAGATAAAAATAGGCCTGAGCAATCAATGTTCTCTGACAGAACTTTGTACAAAGATGTAGATGTTATCAGCATGCTCTAGCCACTAGCTACATGTGTCTATTAGCACGTGAAATGTATCTAAGACAACTGTGGAACTAAATCTTTAATTTGAATTAATTTTTAATTCATTTGATTTCAAATTTAAATAATGTGACTATTGGCTACCATATTGGACAGTACAGCTTAGAGGAAACAAAACGTCTCACTATTTTTCTTCCATGTCTTTTTACAATGTAAGGGACCTAGACAAGTTACTTTTTAAATGTCTGTCTCTGTTCTTTTTTCTTAGTTTGGAAAACAAAATTTTAATCATCCTAAAAACTGTCTTTACTGTCAAAAATATAATGACCAGTCGTCTTATTAACCACACAGTCTTAGTCTGCTTTGTGTTACTATAGCTAAATATCTGAGACTGGGTAATCTATAAAGAACACATATATATTTCTTATAGTTCTGGAGGCTGTGGAGCTCAGGGTCAAGTGATGCGTATCTGGTGAGGGCTTTCTTTTCGCATCATCTCATAACAGAAAACAGAGCCCTCACGACTTATTCGTGTCTTAAAATTCTCACCTATCAACATTGTTGCATTGGTGACTTAATTTCCAAAACATGAACTTTTTTTTTTAACTTTCTTTTAATTTATTTAATATACTTCAAGTTCTGGGGTACACATGCACATCATGCAGGACTGTTACATCGGTATACACGTGTCATGGTGGTGGTTTGTTGAATCCATTGCCCAGTTATCTACATTATCCTAATGGTATTCCTCCCCTATCTCCCCACCCCCTGCTATTTCCTCCCAACCCCTGCACTCCTCAGGCCCTGGTATATAATGCTCCCCTCCCTGTGTCC